AAAGTGGATGGAGACACCGGACACTCATACAGGTCGCCTTTAGTTTTGCCGTGGAGTAATGGGGCATCCGAGTTCAGATCCTTCACCTGGAAATGAGCAGGGAAGAATTCGATGGAAACTTTGTTAGCATTGCATAGTCTATAGACCGATATTAAGTTTTTATGAATATGGGGAACACATAAGACATTGTTTAAAGAGAGATTGCGAGATTTAGAAGGTAGAGAAATGGAACCGGTGTGAGTGATGTTGAGCCTGGTTCCGTCACCTATGAGCACAGCATCATTACCGTTGTAGGGCTGATGAAGAGCGAGGTTATTGAGATCACTCGTCATGTGGTGCGTGGCACCGCTGTCTAACAGCCACGCATTGTTCGGATTTGGAGCTCCCAACGCTAGATTTGCTCTAGGTTGCCACGGTGGATAAGGTTGACTTCCAAAAGTGGTATTGGCGGTGGAGCTGTGACTAGTTAACTGAGAGCATCGTTTTGCACTATGCCCGTGCACACCACATAGCTGGCATCTCCCTTGGTATCCGCATTGTTGTTGTTGTCCACCTTGATAGCTTTGGTTGCCACGGTTGTCTCTGAAATTGTTGTAATTGGAATTGTGTTGATTTCGAGACCAGTTAGAGAAAGACTTTTGGTGGTTACTTTGTGTAGATCGGCCATGAGACTTGGTGGAAGCAACGTTTGCGGTGACAGGAAGGTTTGAATTTTCAGACGCAAGAGTCAGCAGCTTTGCCTCTTTGTTGAGCAATTTCTCATGAACTTCGGTGACCGAGGGTGTGGTATCACGTCCTTCGATCTGTTCGGCGATGGTTTTGTACTCTTCTGGGAGACCTTCGAGTAGATAGTCTATCTGATCTTCGAGATCTACGGGCTTGCCAAGCAGAGCCAATTGATCGAATCTTGTGGTAAGGCTTTGAACATATTCATCAATGGTTTTGGATCCTTTGGACCACTGTCGGAGTTGGAGACGAAGTTGTTGTGTATGTCCCCGGCCTGGATTAGCATACGTCGCGGCAAGAGTGGACCAGATGTCAGCAGCTGTCTTGGCTTTGGAGACTAGCGGTTGAACAGACATAGAGATGGCACCGATGAGCCCACTGAAGATGAGCTTATCTTGACGTTTCCAGAGTGTAAACGCTGGATTCGGTGATGTTACGTTGTTGGCCGTGACGTTGGGAGAAGGTGCAGGCGTGGATCCATCGAGGTACCCAACGAGATCGTATCCATTAAGGAGGGCATTAACTTGAATGCTCCACATCAAGTAATTGCTTGCGGTCAACTTGGCCACATTAGACATGTTTACGTTGAGAAGAGCTTGTGGGGTAGTATCAACTGTTTCAGCAGAGGTAGAAGACATGATGAGAGGGTGCGGCTGGTGAGAAGAGAAAGAAAGATCTAGAAGAGAAAGGAGGAAGAAAAGAAAGGAGGCACCCGAGAGAAGTTTTAGGGCTTCTCAACCCGCTCTGATACCATTATTAAAAGGTATTGACAATGTGTACATATATATACGAGAGGGAGAGATGACTCTAGAAGAAGTATTTACAGAAAGAGAATATTGAAACATTAAACCGATGATTCTGAGTATCTCTGACAAAATGTTTACATTATAAAATCACACGAGAACGAACCATAAGAAAACAATATTATTATTATTTGTTTAAGTTGATATCTTATTGTTCATGAGTTCATCGCGTATTGTTTGGCTACGGATCGGCTGTAACAGTTCCATGGCAAGAACAAACAATTCTTGTAGCAGAGGCTAGATCAAGTTAGAGAAAAAAAATTTAGTAAATTTTTCTCTGTTGAGATGTAGGATTTCACGCAAGAATTTAAACTCGCAAAACTCACGGTCCCTTTTATAATTATTCTTGCAACTGTTAAAATGCTAAGTACTCACGTTGTCTACGCTGATCTCTAATCTTAACAATCTCGAATATCTTGCTCTGGAATCATTCAGGAAAATAACAGAAACTAACTTAAAATAAATAAAAGAAAACAGTGGAAGAGACATCTAAAAATATCGCAAGAAGATCAATGAAAGAAAATAGTAGTCAACGGAAAGTAATGCAATTGATTCGGTGTTCTAAAATAACCAAAACCAAAACAAGAAATTAATAAACGAAAAAAAAAAAAAAATCTTTTTCTGCTTATTATTATTTTTGGGTGTCTTCGTCAAATTGCTTTTCCATTTTCAACTTCATGCATTGCTTTCCTTCGTCGTCCCCTCCAAGGACGACGACGGATCTGTCTTTGTATCCACCAAAAGAATAAATCTCATCATCTCCATTTCCTTTGTTTTTTCAGATATAGTTTTGTCATAACAAAAACAAAATATGTCTTTTCTTGCGCCTTCTCAAATTTTGGAGCTGAATATTATTTCGGCCCAAGAATTGGCGCCAGTGGCACGGTGTATGAAGACTTATGCAATCGCTTGGATTGACCCGGAGCGTAAACTCATGACTCGGGTAGACAATACGGGTGGAACAAGCCCTACATGGAACGACAAATTTGTGTTTCGTCTAGATGAGGAAGCACTCTACCACGGGACATCAATAGTTGTTATAGAGATCTATGCATTGCATTGGTTCAAAGACATTCATGTTGGAACGGTACAAACTTTGATCAGCGACCTTGTCAACCCTTCTTCCGCAATGAGATTTATTACCTTAGAGGTTCTTCGTGCGTCAGGCCGGCCTCATGGCCTCCTAAACATCGCGGTAGGGGTAATTGATAACTCGGGCCAAAGCATGCCTCTTTTGTTCGAAGAAGATTTGATGTTTCACAAGAAAAACATATCTTCCAAACCCATTGCGCTTCGACGGTCCAAAAGCGATTCAAGCTCAATGGTGGAATCACCAAGGAGGGTAGCACAAACTAGAATGAGTTCTACGACATCAGGTTTCGAGAAAGATGAGTTTTCATCCGACTCTCAGATGGTTGTGTATGAGCCACAAAGAAAAACGCCAAATACAATGTTGAGACAAACGAAGCATACTGTGTATGGGACACCGATGAGGCCAAGGAACACGAATGCATATACTCCCAAAAGGAACAATATTGAATACGGAACGCCAATGAGATCGAGACCAGTCGTGATTACAGAGTCTGATTTGGGGCCTTCAGCCTCAGTGGTCGCCGCTCAAATTGCAAAGGAGAAGGCCATGACAGGGAAAGATGCAGAGAGTACTGTGATAAGTGTTGGTGAACGTAGCGTTGAGGGTCTTCGTTCTAAGCTAGAAAGGTGGCAAGCAAATTTACCTGTGGTTCTAGACGTTGGTTCAAGTTATCAACCGAGTTCGGACTACAAAACAAGCTCTAACTTTAACCCTAAATCAAGTTACAAGCCCAATGAAACCGTCCCACGAAATCAACAGATGATTGTAGCTCCTGTACAAAAGCAAGCTCGGAGGAACAAGAAAGGAGGAGATAATGGATTGTTTTCATGTTTTGGTAACATTTGTGGCATCGAGTGTTCTATTGTTTGTGGTGGCTCTAGTGGACAAAAAGCATCCAAGAAAAAGAAGAAAAAGAAGTGAAAAACTTCAAAACCTTATTATTTTCAATTATAAACGATCCTCTTCACATTATGTTTCTATTTCTCTCGATTTTGCTACTCATTAATCAAATTCATAATAGTAAGACAGGGACAAAGGTACATTATCTCATTGTTTTTATAGTAAACTAGGTGAATACCCGCACATTACGTGCGGGTTTTTATTTTCAATTTTTTATATTTTTATAAAAATTAATATAATCATCACTTGTTATTTCCTTATTTGTTAATATTTATTAAATATTATTTAATAATTTAGAGTTATATTAAAATTAATAAATATCATCAATATTTTTAATTAGTTATAACATAAAATTTTGTTTAACATTTACACAAATATTAACTAATAGTCAATTAATAAAAAATTTAAATTAATAGAATCATCATTTCATTTGTTACTTGTTAGTATTTTATTATAAATAATCTTTAAAAAATAATTTAAAATAGATATTAAATATTATTAAGTAATTTACAGTTATATAAAAATTAAATACATATCTATCAATATTTTTTAATTAGTTATAACATAAATTTTTGTTTAACATTAATATAAATATTAGTTAAGAGTCAATTAATAAAATAAACTTTTCATATTCTTTAAATGCTTTAAAATTTAATATTAAATTTTTATTAATTAAAATTTAAGTGACATGTGTCAATTTCTCCAATGCTGATGTGTCAAGCATATAGAGAAAGTTGAGCAACTTTTATATATAAGATAACTACAAACTTGATTTAATCCGTTATTCTTTCAAAAATATAGAAAAGGGCTCATGTCAAAACAAAATATTTTCATTCAGCAAAAAAGTCTACATGTAGACTTCCGTAAATGAAATAATTGTTAAAATTCCATGTGATGAGCCAGTATATTTATAACACTTTGGTATTGTGTCTATAATATAATATAATATCCGTATATATTTATATATCTCTTGTTTTTTTTTTTGCGATCTCCATTCTAATATATATATATATATATGTCATGAAGATGTTATTTTTTAAAAGGATATAAAAAACAAAATATAGATCATTATATTATATATGAAATCTTGAACTGATGTGACGAATTTATAGCGATTTTTGGGAAAAAATGATATGCGTCTGTTTTGCTTACGTGTCGTTTCTATTTAAATCAAATCAAAAATTTGATTTTGGATGTACTGAATTTTTTTTAAAATAATTTAGAACGGTTTATCTGAGCAAACAAATTCTAATTTTGTTTTGTTAATTACAATTAACCAAATAGTTTTCAATATAAATTTTTAATTATGATTTAATTTGGATAAAACGATCGAATTCGGGATCAAACATTTTCTTTGATAGTTATCACTTAAATCAAACTGAGAATATGATTTTGAATATACCGAGATTTTCTAAAATGATTTCCTAAACTAAACTACCAAACCAAAATAAACAAGGGAAAAAACAAGTTGACCGCCGAAAGGAAACGAAACGACCCTGAGCGTTCCAGGATTTGGTTGCTTCGGCTTTACAAAATCTGGCAGCAACCCAGTACCTACCCAGAGAAAAGGGATCAAAGTTTCTGATCGAAGGATCGTCCAAATCACGATGCGTCTGCTCCACTAGTGATTCAAGATGCAATCAAGAACCGTCGGACAAGTTCCGGCGTTGTTTTCTCACAAAACCTTCTCTTTCCATCAAATTTTGGTCCTCATCATCACCTTCATAGCCTATGCCTCCTTCCATGCCTCTCGTAAACCTCCGAGCATCGTCAAGAGCGTCCTTGGACCTTCCGTTAGATCAAATTCTTCAACGATTGATAATGGATGGGCTCCATTTAATGGAGCTAAAGGAACCCAGAGACTCGGTGAGCTCGATCTTGCTTTCCTTTCGTCGTATGCTCTGGGTATGTATTTCGCGGGGCATTTAGGAGATAGAATCGATTTGAGATACTTTCTTGTGTTTGGAATGATGGGAAGTGGGATTCTCACTGTTGTTTTCGGATTAGGGTATTGGATGAATGTGCATTTGCTTGGGTTTTACATGAGTGTTCAGATTGTTTGTGGTTTGTTTCAATCTATTGGGTGGCCTTGTGTTGTCTCTATTGTTGGGAATTGGTGTGGGAAAGAGAAACGTGGATTGATTATGGGTGTGTGGAATTCTCATACATCTGTTGGTAATATCGTCGGCTCGGTAATCGCTTCATCGGTTCTCGATTTCGGATGGGGATGGTCTTTTGTTTTGCCTGGTTTTCTTGTGATTGTATCTGGATTGGTTGTGTTTTTGTGTTTAGTCACGAGTCCTAATGAGTTAGGGTTTGAAGAACCGGGGAAAGAGATTGAGATGAGTTTAGCTGAGCATGTAGATGAAAGTTTGAGAAAAACGGAAGCTGAGGATGCAGGGCTTATTGAAACTATAGAACTGGATGATTCCTTGTCAGCTATTGGATTTATCGAGGCGTGGAGATTGCCTGGTGTTACACCTTTCGCTTTCTGCTTGTTTTTCTCGAAACTCGTCGCTTACACGTTCCTCTATTGGTTACCATACTACTTGAGGCACCAAGGTAAAGCTTCTATGCATCCTTGGCTTTTTCCATATAACCGAAACGTGCATCACTAAGAGTCATGTTCTTACTCTTATGCTTCAAAACAGCTGTTGCGGGTGTTTATCTCTCCCACAAGACCGCTGGGATTCTCTCGACAGTATTTGACATAGGAGGAGTGTTTGGTGGAATATCAGCAGGGTTCATTTCCGATAAAATCAAAGCTCGTGCCCTCACATCAATCGCATTCTTCTCACTCTCCATTCCTGCCTTAATTATGTACAGAATCTATGGGAGTGTGTCTATGTTCATCAACGTTGCCTTGATGTTTATATCCGGGTTATTAGTAAATGGTCCTTATGCACTAATAACCACAGCCGTTGCAGCTGATCTTGGAACACAAGACTCCATTAAAGGGAATGGTCGGGCATTAGCGACAGTAACAGCTATTATAGACGGTACTGGTTCCGTTGGGGCAGCTCTGGGACCGCTGCTCGCTGGTTACATATCGAGCAGAGGGTGGAACAGTGTTTTTTTCATGCTTATTGTTTCGATTTTCTTTGCGGGTTTGTTCTTGATTCGGCTTGCAAAGGCCGAGATCAAAGAAATGAGTTCCAGAGAATTGATAGGGTCTAGTGATTCTTAAAGCTGATGGTTTTTGATCCCAGAGGATTTGTATACAAAGGTATTATCAGGTACATAGATTCATACCATACCATACCATACAAATTAAGACACCACCTGATGAAGATGCAGCAAATTCTGCTCTTTTTTCTTATTACTCACAAAATGTAGTCGAATGTTTTGGTGAATTGTGATTAGATTGTAAATTTAACAAAAAAAAAAAAAATACTACTGTGAAGAAAATGGTTAGACCTGTAATGCCTGAGTTCAAGAATTCTTCATCTGGTTTTCGGCTTATTATTGTATTTCGGTTATATTGTAATATTTTTTTTTCTGCAGAGTGACCTATCCAAGTCTTTTCCGATTACCACTGTGTTTTTTTAAATATACCATATTCATGTGGGATTTTAAATGAATCGTAAAAACTTAGATATATTTTTTATATATATTTAGGTTTATCTTGGTCAAAGTATTCATGATCCATATTAACCCCTCTAAACCTAAAATACTTAATCTAAGTTTGATGTGAATCGAATTTTGTCAAATATTTTCTAATCTAAACCTAAAATACCCAACCCAAAACACTTGAAGATCTAATCCAAACCAATTTTGCTTACCTTTTGGTAAAAAAATATGAAAATTATATACAGTAGTTTCTAAATTTTTCCCTTCAGCAAATATAGGAAGGGAGATGACCTCACCGCTTAATCAACTCGCCAGGTCATTAGAAATCTCGGAATATGGCACTTAGTCGACGTAGAAGACAGAGCATGTGAAGAACAGAGATCTCAGGGGGGAAGTTTGCAAAAGGGATATGCATTCTGACTTTGACTAATGTAGCTCGTCATTGTTTACTAGATAAAACATACACATTCATTCCATGCTTGTCATAATAACAACCTAAAATATAACTTAGTTTTTATTCATTTCTTGTAGCTCACTGTTCCCTTTTATATTATTTTATTTGCAATAAATCATTGAATTATTGTTATGTTATTTGGCATCAACAATTTGATGTCGTTTCTGGAAAATCAGAGTTTCAGGTTAGAATTACGAAATCTCAAGATGGCTATTCTATCAGGAACCTTCAAGTGTGCTGATTGTTGCTCGAAGGACAATGTTGCATGAAAAGTTGAAACGATCCTTCTTTACTAGTTTTGAGTAACAAGAAGATAACCGACACTGTGCAATCGAACAGCTGAACGCCATAAAATTATGTTTTTGTAAAATCTGTGAAACCGTGCTGCCACTAAAAAATCACATTTTCTGATAAAAAATAGTATTTTTGGCAAAAACCAAAAAATCATAGTTGTGGTCGAAAACAAAAATTTGCTTTTCCACTAAAACCGCTAATCATTTTTTTCCACCAAAAATATAGAATCCAAATTTTTCTGTAAAATCACTCTTTTCCACCCAAAATGCAATTTCCATGAAAAGAGCAAAATCATATTTTCCACCAAAAATACAAAATCACATTTCCGCATCAAAATGTAATTTACTTCTAGAGACGCAAATTGCTTTTTTTTTTTCACAATACTGCATTTTCATGCCAAAACCATAAAATCTTGTTTTTCTGTTTTTTTTTTTTTCCCCAATCTTGTTTTTCTGTTAAAACTGCAAAATTGCATTTTTCTACAAAACTGCAAATTCTTGTTTAATTTACTATAATAGAATTTTTCAAACCAAAAACGCAAAATTACATTTTCGCAACAAAACCACAACCACATTTTCCTGCCAAAACCGCCAAAAATTTTGTTTTTTTACTAGAGTCTTGAAATCACATTTTCCTGCAAAAGTCATATTTTTTTGCACATACTGTAAACTTTTGTTTTCTCCCAGTATTGTGAAATCTCATTTATCTTTGAAATCCCTAAAAACATGGAATAATTTTTCCCCCCACATAAAATCTTTCTCGTTATATTAGTACTAAAATTTGATAAATAATTTATTTAAAATGATTTTTATGTTATTGTATTGTAAAATTAATTTGAATATTAAAAAGAATAATTTTAAAACATGTACTTTTTAGTCATTTGATATATTGTGTGTCAAAATATTTTCTGAAATTTATAAACAAAAAACTAGATTTTATCTCGTCTGCACGGAAATTTTTTTTATGTCAAATTTTACAATACTATTTATGTTTTGTTTGTTTAAATATAATTTATTTTAATAGATATATCTTCTAAAATATGGGCTTCTTTTTTTGTAAAGCAAAGAGTTAGACCTACCAAATCTACAAAAAGATATCTATCCTCAGATATTATAAACATTTGGAAAGTAAGAAACCATAAATTCAATTTAACTTTTATGCTACTGAAGTAAGAAATGATACCATATTTTACTTCAGCTTTTTCGGTACACTGAAATTAGTCGAAGTTGATTTTGACCTTTTTCACGGCCAAAGCAATCACATATTTATCAATAGAAACTATTTTATAATTATTTGCTTTTGAATTTAACTCTTACCATAGACGACGATACATTTGATTGTAGTTGAGGACAGAGACCAAGGCGCCATCGCCACCGCCACCGCCACCGCCACCATAGAAAATCCTAGCCACCGCAAAATTAAACGAACAGGGGACTCATTTAGCTCTCTACCTGACGAGATCCTCAACCATATCCTCTCCTTTGCTCCAACCTATTTAGCAATCAGAACCTCACTATCATCCAAACCAAGGAGGCAAATCTGGTGCGAGACACCTTTGCTCGAATTTTCTCGCTTTAGACGATCGCTACTGAGAACACCATATTTTTATCATTTTTATGGATCACTTTTAATGTCTTATGCAGGTGTTTTAACTCTGTTTTCAATGTTTTATAATTGGTTTCTATGTTTTAGAGTTTCAAAAGACTTTTCAGGAAATTTGGACTTATGAAGTGAATTTTAGACTAAAAGTACATTTTTGATAAATTCAGGCCATCAGAAGTTTGGCAACCAATGAAGACATTCTCACCATCTGATCATCCCCAAATTTAGAGACAACACAGAGTACACAACCAGATTTGTAATGCAATTAGATTGGACGCAATCCAACGGTTAGGTCTCTAGATATGCCCAATACTGAAGGAAAATCAACACAGTCCAGAAGGCGAAGCTGTCTTCACCTGCAGTCAAAGGAACCTGCACTGCGGCTTCGACCTTCTCACCCGCGGTAAACTTATTTCCGAGCCTAAGAAGCCCAACTCAAAGCCCAAGTCACTTCCTGCACTTATTCTGCAAACCCTAGATGCCCTAAGGAGAGGAGAGGCTATAAATAAATTGTCTTTAATTAGGTCTTTTACAAGTAGTCTCTTTTCATGCTTTAGAATAAAGTACTCAGTTTTAGGTTTTAGGTTTTGCTTTTATGCAACTGTAAAAGACTTTCTTGCTAACTCTGTCTTTAATAAGAGAAGCCTTTCTTCATTCCTTTATCTCTTTACTTTACTGCTTTTCTGTTTTAAACCAGTGATGATGTTAAGCTCAACTATGTCTGAGTAGTTACCTTGTTGGTAAAAGAGGATATCAATAGGGCCCTCATGATCGAAAATATTTAGGTTTTTTAGATTCAGGATTTTGTTTTTTTTACATGAATCTCTCATTCATCCCAATCCTAATGCATGTATGTTTGATTGATCACCTAGCATCTGATCTAAGGTTTAATCAGAGCCACGATAGTCATGTATCAGATTGTCTGACCTGGATCTTATGGACATAACCGTCGTAGGGGTCGAAAGCTACCTACAGAGGGGGCGTTAGCGGAGATAAATTCTGTTTGTTTAATGCATGATCTCTCTCGCGGAAAGAGACAAAAGCTACTTGTCGATTTTGAGTGCTTAGATGGTTAGGGTGACGACATTTAGCTAATCATATCTGTGTCTATTATAGCTCCAGAATCATAGAAAATCCTTAACTAAATTCCTAATGTTATAGATCGTGAACCCTATAGAAAATCTCTACTTGTCGAGTTTGAGTGCTTAGATGGTTAGGGTGACGACAGTTGGCTAATCATACCTGTGTGTATTCTAGTTCCAGAATCGTGGAAAATCCTTAACTAAATTCCTAATGTTATAGATCGTGAACCCTATAGAAAATCTCTAATGCCCAGCGCCTTAATTCTAGTGCTTTTCAACCATTTTATTTTCTTTTTTCTTCCCTGCTTAGTTTATTAGAAATCATGACACACAAAACCCCTTTTTAATCTGATTAGATTTAGATTTGACTTTAGTATCAGTAAGAAATCTTCAACACACAAATCCCTATGGATTCGATCCTTAAGTACTACTGCATTTGCTGTGCACTTGCAGCTTATTTAGGGTAACACTTGTAGTTGTCCACTGCATCCACATCAATTTTTTGGCGGAATTGCCGGGATTTTTTTGCTTTTTGATTGATTTCTTAATCTAATTTCAACTCTAGACCACAAGATTTTTGAGTTCTTATGCTGCTTTTCTGAATTCTCTTTTTTATGTTTGCTTTCTTTTCTATTAGGTGCATGAACGCTAGGAGAACTCCTGCCAAAATTGTACCACTTCTAAACGAGATTGACAAACACGAAAGAGAGCTCTGGAAACTCAAAAGGACGCCCAAGATAGCTGATCCAAACGACCAACAGGAAGATCTTCTAACCGTGATCAAATTCATCACAATGGAGATGATGATCGTGATTATGTTCACGAGGAGGACCAAGAGGCTCTTCATAGAGCAGATTACCAGCAACTACTCGATGGAGAGGGAAACCAAGTCCCTAGACGTGCTGCTCAAAGCCCTAAATACCAAAGGAGACAAGTCCAGGCCGATAATGAAGAACAAATGAATGATGAGAATAACATTCCTCCTAATGGAAGATGCTAATAGACCTGTTCAACATGCCAGCCCTGCAAGAAGACAAGCTCCCAATAGGCTTATTTCTGACTTTGATGCACCTCACCAACACTTTCAAAACATATCCTATTCAAGTCCCTCCACCAACAAGAGGTTATTTCGAGATTAAACCTCAAATTTTCACTTTGGTGAAGCAAAACCAATTCCTTGGATTCTCTACAGAACAGCCTATGGATCATATAGATATTTTTGAAGAAATCTGCAGCATAGTGAGAACCAATCCAGGTTCTGCAGAATATGTGAAGTGTAAGGTTTTTCTTTTTTCTCTGAGTGAAAAAGCTTTTAGATGGTTAAAATCTATGTCATGTGGTTCTATTACTTCATGGTAAGAATGCAAGTCTGCCTTTCTGAACCACTTCTACACCAAGTCAAGATCAAATCAGCTGAGAAACAAGATCCAAAGTTTCCAAAAAGGCTCCATAAAGTCTTTCTTCGAGGCATGGGAGCGATTTAAAGAATATGAGAGAGACATCCCTCATCATGGTTTCTCTGGAGCAAATCTACTAAGCACCTTCTACAGAGGACTTTAGCAAAAGTATCAACTATCTCTTGAAACAGCCAGCAATGGAGATTTCGGTTCAAAGACTGTAACACAAGGAAGAGCACTCACTGAAAATCTCACCGTACCCAATAGCAACAACAACTCCGAGTAAGACAGATAAAAGAAAACTATCATTAGTCATTAGTCAAAGGAGATTGCTGAGCTAAAAAGCATGGTAATTCAACTTCTTAAATTTCGTGGGGGCACAAGGTTCTTACCAAAGGCACTTCGACAGTGGCATCAACAAAAAATTTAGGAATGCCAACTTTAACAACCTTTATACTGAAATTAAGGAGCAGAGAACTCTCAGAACCAGCCGTATCCGCAGCAGCAAAGAAATTTTCCAAACAAGTTCCAAAATGGGAACTATGGAGTAAGAAAGTTTCAACAAAGACCACCACCCCTCAACACTCAACCTGCGCAGAAAAATTTACAAGAGGCTACCATCTCTCAACTAGGCAATCAGATGATGAGGATTAAGCAAAATCTTCAACAACTTTCGCAAGGCATTGAGAAATCATTTGGAGAGATGAACATAAAAGTCAATTGTATGTACAATGACTTAAATGGGAATTTTGAATCTCTTTAAACCCATGTCAAGAAATTGGAACTCCAAGTAGGCCAAACTGTAGACTCAATAAAGAGACAGCCAGGAGCTTTGCCAAAAAGAGTATAAGACAATCCAAAGAAATTCTGCAATGATATCTCAACAGTACCTGAAGAGAAACCAAATCAGAATGTGAGGAGAGATCAATTTCTGTGCCACTCTTTAAGACACAAAAACCGATCATAGAGGAGGTCTAGACTCTTTATATGAGGTACCAAAACGGTTTCTTTTCCAAAGACTAAAAAAGTCCAAGGATCCATGACGTTTTTCTTTCTCTCGTTTCAGTACTAGAATTGAAACTTTCAGATTGTTTATGTTATTCTGGTACTAATGTGACCATTATGTCAAAATCAATTGCTGAGAGACTAAGAATTTGAACTCTTATTCCATTTCCAGTAAGGATAGTTTTGGTGTTTTATCTCAGAAAAAATAGAAGGAATAGCTCAAAATATTCAATTGGTTATTGGGAGTAATATTATTCCAACAGGTTTCCAAGTGTTAGAGATGGGCCAAGACAATGACAGATCATTGATCTTTGGCCGACCATTTTAACCACTGTAGGAGCTGTTATTGATCATGCAAATCATTCTTTAGTTTTCTTAAATGTGGACAGGAAAAAGTTCTATAAAACTATTCCAGATGAAGCTCAAATTCGAAAAGACAAACCCAAGGTGAACACTTTGGAAAAGAAGAAAGCTGAGAACAACAAAGCTAATTAAGGAATTGCAGCCACTTGCATCTAAGCAATTCACAAAGATCAAGATAATGGTGCCACCAGACATTAAAACCAAAAAGGAAAATTCTTAAAAAGAACTTCAAGGAAGTGATAGAGAGGACAAGACATTAAAACCAAAAAGGGAAATTCTTAAAAAGAACTTCAAGGAATTGATAGAGAGGACAAATCAGTGTTTAAGAATGCAACAATTCTTAAATAGGAAAAAGAGATTGTAATACAAGATGAAAGAGATCCACTTTACAAGCTTTAGAGGCCTCATGGGACTTCTATTCCAGAAGATCCTTTTTCTTCTTCTCACATCTAATCTCACCCAAAAAGTCTAGCTAAAAAAATTAAAACAAAAATGCTTAAGGGTTTGGTATGTTTTCTGTCTCTTTATTTTATGTTTTTTCTATTGATATTTTTTTTATATGCATTTCAGGCTTTTATAAAACTAAAAAACCCAAATACATTAAAAAAACGAGAAGAACACAAAAAAATAGGATGAAGCATCATGCACACTGAGGAAAAACAAGAAAAAGGATGAAGAAAAAGAGGAGTGAACGGAAGCCATTCACCACGGTCGCACAAGCTTCACCCGTGGCCAGGCTTCAATCCACCGCGGCCAAGCTCTCTTCATCCGAGGAAAACACGTCCCACCGCAGCCGCGATGAGTCCACCCGCGGCCAGCCCCTTGTTGGAGTCGGTTTCACCCCAATCGGTTTAAACCACCTCTGGAATATCGGAGAGCCGATATTGCAAGGAGAACCGGCGATCCATTAAGTATGGGCCGAGCCGCGCATGAGAGGAGTAGGCCAAACTCAAGTGGGCCGAGCCGTGAGGAGGAAATGGGCGAGTCGCGTATGAGAAAAGATGGGCCGATCCGTACACCAGTGAAGATGGGCCGAGCCGTGCATGAAGGAGAGTGGGCCGAGCCGTTACCTTTCGAGATGGGCCGAACCGAGGTTCTGAAGGAAGAAAGCCCATAAAAGCCCTAGGCGATGCCTTGAGGCGGCGGCCGCATGAAGCGATAAGGAAATGTTCCTAAAATCTCTCCCGAGATTCTCGGCTAGGCGGTTTAGAAAGTTAGTATAAATAGACAATGTATGCAATTCATTCTGTAACTTTTTTTGCAACCCTAAGCAATAAAGACTAAACACTTTCACAGCAAGGAAAACCCTCTTTCGATCTTACTGTTCTTGCGATTACCCTAGAAATTTCGGATCCCTTAGTTTTTCCTTACAAATTTTTGGTTGTGCGAGTTTTGGCTCACACAATTTGGCGCCGTCTGTGGGGAATCGAAACTTTCTTACTCTAAATCGACAAGACTTTAAGATCCGAAGAATATGGTGAGCAACACCCTCGACGATAACAACAACAACAACAACAACAACAACAACAACGATAACAGCGTGGAGAAGGACGCTCCAGCATCAGGCACAACGACGGCGACGACCGAAACCCAAGAGGAGATGCGAAACATGATGGCTGCGTTGATGAAGATGATCGACGAGCAGGACAAAAGAAACGAGGCGATTACAGAGAGGCTCGACGCGATGGCAGCCGAGCAACGACTCCGAACTTGGAGAGCTGGAATATCCGACCCGATGGATGGAATCCGGAGATGCTTCGATTTCTCAACGCCTGCAGAGGCCTCGGGTCCGGCGCAAGAAATCCCTTGGCTCCACCAATGTTTCGTCCTCTCGGCGAACAGACTCCCGTGGTAACCCGAGTCAACATGACCGAGCCGCCTCCACTCCGTCGGAACTCAAGGCGACGAGCCGGCGAAGAGGGGAATGACGCGATTGACGTGGACGCCCAACAGAGCGATGGAACCACGAACTCGCAACAAAACGGCTCGGCTCGGCGAATAAGCCAAGAAGAGCTCGCCTCGGCACTAAACGGCGTCCGGACTGACGAGATCACCGATCTGGCTCGCGGCGACAACCCGACTCAAGAAGAAGAGAACCTCCAATGGATCGAGCAGGCGGAACGCAAAGACGAGCCGAGGAGAGAAGAACGGGAGCGACTTTCCCAATCAAAGGGAATGACTCACCCGCAAACCCTCGAAATTAAAGAGCTGCGAGCCTCAAATGGCTCGGACAGTAGCCGAGATACACGCCATGAAGTCTCAAGTGCATAACGCGACGAGCGCTGCGCCCGAGATCGATCGAATGCTTGAAGAAAACCAGAGAACACCATTCACGGCGAGAATCACGGAGGCTAGGATTCCCGAGCCGGGGAAGGTGAGAATCCCGTTCTACGAAAGAACGACCGATCCAAAAGCACACATCACAGCGTTTCGGATAGCAATGGGACGAGCCTTCACAAAGAACGCTGCCAAACTGATCGAGCGGGAAGTAGATACTGGATATTGCTTGCTCTTCGTGGAACATCTCAAGGGAGCCGCGCTCGAGTGATTTTCGAGGCAGGAGCGCAATTCGATTGGCAGTTTCCAACAACTCTCCGCCTTGTTCCTTAAACAATACTCGATGTTTATGGATAGAGGAACGTCTGATGCCGACCTGTGGACGCTATCCCAAGGGCCGAACGAACCGCTTCGGGATTACATGGCAAGGTTCAAGGTGGTCGTATCCAAAATAGAAGGAATAAGCGACAAGGCTGCACTCGAAGCTCTGAAACGGTCTTTGTGGTACAAATCCGAGTTCCGACGGGAAATGGCACTCAACACGCCACAAACGATTCAAGATGACTTGCATCGGTCATCAGACTTCGTCGTAAACAAGGAAGAGATGAAGAATCTGGACGAGCAGTCGAAGCAACGAAAGCAGCGATCCGAAGCTCAATTTTGACGCGCCCCTCGAAGAAAGGCAATCCATCAAACAACGCAACAACGCAGAGCTCGGACGAACCTAGAAGCGGAGGTGCCCAAAACTACCAAGTAGGCACTGGACGCGGAAGAGGAGAGCCGCGCAACAACACTTGGGTAAGAAAGTCCACCAACTACGACGAAAAGGCTTTCTGCGAGTATCACCAGACCTATGGGCATTCAACGGCACAATGCCAAACTCTAGGAGCAAAACTCGCAGCTAAGATGGCGGCGGGAGAGCTCCAGAACGCGGTTAACCTCAAAGACCTTGTCCCTAATGAACCAAAAGAAGGAGCCGAGCCGAGCGGCGCGGCAGAACCCACAAATCCTCCCCGACGGGGCGATAACACCAAGCGCGACAGGAGAGGCGAACCCGAAGAGCGACCCGAGCCGAGGCAAAGGATCAACATGATCATAGGTGGATCTCAATATTACCAAGACACGGTGTCCTCCATCAAAGCCTATCAGCGCCGAGCCAAAGCGAAGGAAAATTGGACAGAACCGACCGATATCCCGAATACAGTGATCTCCTTTGCCGAGGAGGAAACGGCAGGAATCGATAGACCACACAATGATCCACTGGTGATCGAATTGACGATCAGGGATCACGATGTAGCGAGGGTGCTCATCGATACTGGGAGCTCGACAGACGTCATTTTCAGGGAAACGCTCAGAAGGATGGGAATCGATCTCTCCGAGGTGACAGCGATCCCCAAACCTCTAACCGGATTTTCAGGAGAAACAACGATGACTATGGGAACAATTAGGCTCCCTGTGGTAGCTGGCGGAGTCAC